GGGCCAGGTTTGAACCCGCCACCCTTGGTATATGGGGCTGGCGCCCTACTCAATGAGCCATAGGCACCGCCCCCAACATTCATATTTCTGTTTTATCTGTTTCCACACAAGCATTTGGCTTTTGCTCAGCATTTGTGTAAAGTGAATAAACTCAACTCTGATGGTCAGAAAATATGAGTCTGGCACTGCAGGACATGTGGTGTCATTTTTGCAGACAGGACTTGCCTTTCTGAATGAGAATGAGATGTGTGTCTGAGAACAAGGAGGGCTTGATGCTTGTAGCACAGGTTATGGCGCCAGCCCATAATCCCCAAAGTTAGTGGGTTTGAACCCAGCCCGGGTCTGCTAAAACAGTGACAACTGCAAACAAAAAGTAGCTGGGTGTTGCGGCAGGCGCCCATAGTTCCAGCTACTTGGGATGCTGAAGCAAGAGAATTGCTAAGCCCAAGGCAGCACAGCTCACAGCAACCTCAAACTCTTGGGCTTAAGCCATTCTCTTGCCTCAGCCTCCCAAGTAGCTGGGACTACAGGCGCCCACCACAATGCCCAGCTATTTTTTTGGTTGTGGCTGTTGTTTGGTAGGCCCAGGCCAGGCTCAAAACCACCAGCTGCAGTGTATGTGGCTGGTGCCCTAGCCACTGGACTACTGGTGCCGAGCCAAATTGTATATATTTTTGTTTTTAATCTGTGCACACAATTAGATTTCTATCCTCAAGTAACTGAGTACAGAATAAATAGTTTAGTGTTTGAATGTGGACAGTTGAGTGACCAGATCCCTCTGCACTCTTGAGCCCAGTTGGCCTTGTGTTTCCTGAGCTGTCACCCACTGTGGGGTTAGGACAGTCATCCTGCTGTCTCCTCCAGGACCTAGGAGGCAGGTGTGAACTGCCCTCATACAGCTGCAGTGAGGCAGTCATCTTCCTGGACTGTTGCTCACAGCACACAGTATGACAGCTGGCCTCCATAAAGCTACCTCTGGGTCACAGTGAAGGCTAAGCTGAGGGATTAGAGGTTAAAACATGAGATGGGGTCTTACCTATGGCTGGGCGAAGGTTATAGCTGTGTGTGTGCTACTCTGCACAAGAGGAAAATGGAGAAGTTTCCTTTCTTTTGTTGTAACCCAAACAATACAAACGGTCAGGGGCAGCACAGAGGTCAGGCAGTGGGCATTCACTGGAGAGCTTTGCTGGTCCTGGTACAAGGACAGGTTTGCCTAGCTCCCATCTCACCAAAGCCACTGCTCTGTCTAACACCTCTGTTGGAGTTCGGTGCCACTGGATTGCAGTGGACCTGACCACATCTGATCGAATGTTGGCTGCTGGTCCGGTGACTAGATCTGCTTTTTGCTTTTGGGATCTGCCTGGCCAGGCCTAGGTTTCTCAATCCTATTCGCACCAGGCCTGAGAGCTGATGCTCTTCCAGCCAGGATCCACTCTCCACTGTACCAGCTCCATCACTGGCTTGAGCTGGACTGAACTGAGCTATGGAGACTTCTGGGCACAGGACCTGTAGTGGTGTAACCTTCCATGGCATCCAGGCCAGATGAGGAGACTGGCCCGCTCGCCCAAGCCCTCTCATCACCAGGCAGG